TCCCTACAGTATGATTTCTGACAGTATGCTGAGCTGATCGTGTATTTGCATCTTCCTAATACTTTGGTTGTGATTTTTTTTTTGTCTGAAAGAAAAGGCAAAAGTGGTAAGGAAAGTGCAGAATATGTGATGTGTACTCTGAATGTAAAATGATCAGGAACGTAGAGCTCAAAGTTTGTAGTCAACCAGCCGTCATTAGCATATATCATATAGAAACCTGCTGTTCTGGTGTATCAAAAGGTACAAGAGAGTGAATGTAATTACTAGATAGGTAAATGTTAGAATATCAAATAAGAATAATAAGGTGTTACTGCTTGGTGTGACAGAAACTGTCACTGAAATACTTTGCCTTATTTTTGGTATTCCCTTCTACAAAAGATGCTGAAAGCTTGGGAACAGCTCTGAAAAGAGCTAAAAGAATTATTAGAGCTAAATAAACCAACCCAAGATTAAGCAAATTAATTTATCAATGACAAAGGTCAGACCATTAGGAAGTTGCCTATTAATAGAACCTGCATAAGGAAGACATTTCTGTTAGTAGGCAATCCGTTAATCTAGGAAAAAAGATATAGTAAGAAATAGTGGCTGAAGCTGTACAAATTTAAACTAGTAATAAGAAAAAAGATTTTAACCAGGGAGATTAGTAATCACTGGAGCAATACCATTGGGATTTGTTTTTCAGCTTTTTTTAATTCATGATTTCTGAAATGTTTGTTAGAGAGTGTATACTGCTTTTCATCAAATGTTGTTCTGGTGACAATGTGCTTGCTTTTCTTTGTCACCTTTCCCAGATCTCCACAAACAAATTTAAGGACACGAGTTCTTCATTGCTCAGTGCAAATGAACCCTTTTCTGAGAAGTTTACCTGAACAGATCAGATTTTTGGGTATAGAAACTATTGGGTAGGGTCCTGTGGTGTATGATACACAGAAATATAAACACATGCTTCTAATGGCCTCTCCTTCTCAAATGCATTTGTATTTGCAGGGGAACGAGGTTCCCTCTTTACTAACAAAGCGCTCCCTGCTATCACTGTGACAAAGCTTCTCCTTTCTGCTCCTTATTTCAGGTCCCTCAGTCAAGAACTTCTTCATTTGCTTTTGCTACTTCCAGGGTATTCTCCCCCATCCCCCTCATTTGTTCTTCCTTACATCGAGTTTCGTTTTGGGTCAGTTGTTATTTCTGGGTTTGACCAGGAATTTTCACAGCCAGCATGTCACTTCAAGATGAATCCTTACTGTGTTTGGAAGAGATTAGCTCCGGGATGGCATAACTACTGTTACTTTGTCTATAAGTAGACTATCAGACCCTGCAAATAAAAGTCTTACATTTTCTTTCTGAGGTACATAATAAAGCATAAATACAAATTTGGAAATGAAGTGTAAATTAGATTTGAATGAACCCTAGAAACAGTTCATACTGCTGGGCAGGTGGTAGAATTTTGACTACCTCCATGGAAGTTTGTGTAACATGGAAAGCACATTTCATTTACAGCTGGAGATTCAATCGGAACACAGCTGCTGACATCTGATTTTTTTTTTCATACTACCCCTCCCCTTGTAAGGATCCAGATACCAAATAGATTAACAACAGGTACTTGGCCAATGCGTACAAACTCTAGAATGGACTCCTCTTCCTTATTTATCTTGTTTTAGCTAGAAATTACTGATCTAATCAGTTTTCCTTTCTTACTGATAAGTAAACCTATGCTATTTGTACCTCTGTTCATCATGCTGTACACTAAAGGGCAGGTACATTTTAATTGCCAAGATAAACTGCTGTCAAGTTCTGTGACTCAGCAAGTACATTGGGTACCTTTGCTACTAGGGCAGTGCAAGGAATAGATTTTTAGAAGTACATAAGCAAAGAAATCTTTCCTATCAGTGATCAAACATATATGGTTCTGGTTGTCAGAAAAATAAGAGTTAAATGCTAGTGGAGTATGTGGTGCCTTTACCACTTTAAAAAAAAAAAAAATCAGTTTCTTCATAGATTGGAAACAAGAAAATCAGTTCTTCTTCTCGAGCTTTTTTTGACATGTTTCTTCAACTTTGTGTAAGTGAAGCTGTGTGGTCTCATACATAACCTTCCAATCAAATCAGGTTTGGGTACACTCTGTGGACAGCATGTCTCACATGAATGCCTTGTTATAAAAAAATTAAATAACTGAGTGTAATTCCTATCTCTACTCTAATTTGTCTTTAGTGCTATACATGTTAAAACCTCCATATTATATAAATTAATCTGATAAATGATTAGTAAGTAATTTTGCTGTAAGTGTTCAAGAATGTCTGAAATTCCATATGCAGTTAATACTCCAAACATTTGGAGATGCATAATAATGTCATTTATTATACTGGGTTTTTTGTTATATACAGAAGGGCCCATGGGCCTTGTACAGGTTTAGTCTTGCAAGCAGTTTCAAAATGCCATTCATCTTTACGCGTATTTCTTTACACAGCAATTCTAAGCTGGTATTTCTTACTCTTGCAGTGCTTACCCCAAGAACACTTTAAAAACATATAGCCAAAAATAATACGAACCCTTGAGTATTATACTACTTGGGACAAATTGTACCAGCTTTTCTCTTTGACTCTCCTGGTTAAATTTTCATTGGAAGATAAGGAAACTTCAGTAATATGCTATTAAAACCGGATGTGCTTTGCTAAAAAGAAGTATTTTATAAGTTTGTTTTGCTAGCCTGTAGGTGGAAAGCACAGTTGAGATCACACTTCTCAAAATATCAGTTGATTGCTGTACCGTACCTGTTTGTCTGTTTTCTGATTGGGTAGAGCTGTTGCTGGGCTGATACTGTATTGACTTTCTAATTTTGGTCAAAATAAACGAGTCAAACTAGACTGCCTGCTTTTTTCATTTCTGTCTTCTGATTCATCAGTTGTTTGTTTCAAATTCTTATAGCCTCTGTGAATTGGGGGTTGTGCCAGCAAAGGTGAAAGCTGTTAGTGGTTAGTCAGTAAGAATCTTCATAAAAATTTGTCTTGATGACATTTAGATGCTATAATAGAAATATGATGCCTAGTTAAAAAAAAAAAAGTGGAAGTGGGTCCTACGAAGTGATCGTATTAAATAGATGGATGTGAGAACCTATTCCTCACTTAGGGGACTGCCTGCTTCTCCTATTCAGGAATGGCATTCTTCTTCTTGACCCTAAGAGGATGTTGTTAGCAATGTTCTGTGGCAGAGGCTTAAGACCTGAAACTTACTGATGAAGGCATGTATGGATGAAGGATTCACTGCTTACACATCTTTTTTCTTTAGCATTAGGATGTATACTTTACCAAGTTGGACTGCGCCTGGTTAGCTACGTTATTAATACCATGGAGGATTAGAATGTCTGTGAATATAACTATTATATTTGAAGAAAAACACCATGTAACTTGTTTAGCAAAATGGTTAGTGCACGTACAGCAGTTTAGCAGCTAAGGGTAGATGGCTGTGCTGTGCTTGAAGAAATGCTGTTACTTTAACTGTACCATTAAGATAAAGCTGTGGACGTTTCTTTTGAGAAATTACTAGGATTTGATGCAAGTGACAGAGGGAAATGTTTTCATGAATTTATACTTGGGTTAGTTCAGACTTTCAGAATTTTATTTTTTTTTCCTTCTTCCATACAGGTGGGTACGAAAAAGATGTTGTTGTTGAATGCCATTTGATTAATATCCACTAGTCTTGTAAAAAAAAAGGCTATGTCTCAGTATTACTCAAATGAAGCAACAAGCGATATAATTCTGTGTTCCACTGAAGATAGGAAGTAGGAAATGCTTTAAGAGAGCAACTTGGTTAAATCATGAGATGTCAAGATACTGTGTGAACATAGAAAGTAGGTCTCATTTAGCAATGATAACAATAAAAGGGTAGCAAGAACACGTAAAATTAAAATCAGAAAAAAGGCACTAAATGAGATGCAACTAGAAAGGAACATGAAAAAACCAAGAAAACTTTCTACAGTACATTAATGGGGAGAAGACAATAAGGAAATAATTGCTGCAGTGTTCAGAAGATGAGAATTATTGACAGATGGCACTGTGAGTAGTGAAGTGTGGAATGCCTTTTTTTGCTTCTTTTTCTGAAAGGGTTAAGTATGATCAAATGATTAATCTCTTCTCCATCCTGAGTTCTTTTATCACTAAAAAATGAGGTGGAGAATATTTAAGTGTCTTCAAACCAGCTAGGCCTGATGAAATTTACCCTTTGTTGCTTACAAAAGGACAGAAAGGGGTAATGTCTCTGGGATTCTTGAAAAATTACGTAGGATTTCAAGGTTGTAGGGCACATGCCTTTAAAAGGAGAAAATGGAGGAATTTGGGGAATAACAGACCTGTCGATTTAGATTACATTTCTGGTAAAAATCTGGAACAAATAATTCAGCTATCTGTAAGCAATTGGACTTAACAAGAAAATGAGTAAGAGCTACCATGGATTTAACAGTAACAAATCAAGGGTAGTAGTTTAACCTCTACAATAATTAGCAGGCCTCGAGAAGAAGGGAGGGTGGTGGTCTTTGGCCATCACAACTGACATTGGCTTACTTGAAAGATTAGTAAACTCTGGCCCATATGATTATTCTAGTTATATAAAGTGCTGTTTTAAGATGTTTTAAGATTACTGTGGGCTTGGTAAAAATAGATGACCTATACTAAGTATATCCCATTAGTAATTACCCCAATGCTATAATAGTTCTGTCAGATGTTTTTGATTTCTTCTGTAAACTGGGTTATGAAAAAATAGTGGCATAAAAAATTACTTCTAGTTGTTATATTTGGCATTCCTTCAGTTGTTCTGGACCTGCTATTAACTGAATTGTGAACCAATTTAAGTATTATCTTCTTTTTAAGCAGCTAATAGCTTCTGATGTTTTCTGTGTAATATGGTTTATTTATTTTATTGCAGGATTTGGTTATCCGTATCATCTTCATTCTTGGTAATTTAACAGAAAAGACTAACCAAGCCCGTGAGCAATTTTTTAAAGAAAAAGGAAGTGTTAACACTTTGATATCATTATTCCAAACCTACCATGAACTTGATTTGAATGCACAGAAATGGTACCATGAAAGAGAAGGGGAAGAAAAAACCCACCCAAAGCATCCTTCAGAAACAGAAGATGTTCTGATAAAACTGATAAGAGTGCTGGCCAATCTCTCCATTCATCCCAGTGTAGGAGCAGCTCTGGCAGCTGCCCATCGTGTTGTAGAATTACTTGTTACAGTACTAGGTAATAAAATTATGTTGTGTGTGTTATCTTTGTTCAGTCTGTAAGGACAGTTTAGACTTTTTCTACTTGACCTTCTTATCTAGGTTGAACCATAACTAAACTGGTTCTGTTGCTAAAACAACAAAGTCAATCTGCTGATATTCATAACCTGTTTTATGTAGAAAGCCTGTTTGACACAGTGGAAGCATTGCTACTTTGGTACTGACATTTTAATGTCTGGGGAAAGACGTTGTAAAAGTGTTTCATTCAGTGGTAAGATTTGCAGATATGATCGTTAAGGATAAGGAAACACATTTTATTTTAAATAGAACTCACCGAGAGTGCATATGTAAGGAAAGCCTGTTCTTATCAGGTGCTATATACTTGTGTTTGGTGGTGGGGTTTTTTTAAGGTTTGCAGGTTTTGTGACTGTTCTGGATTAAGTATTCTTTTTGTTCCCTGCACTCATAACTTTCAGCCTCCTTGAAAAATTCCCCCCCCTCCCTTTTTTTTTTTCTCTTTCAGATTTTCAACCTTTATTTCTTTCCCTCCAAAAAGAGTTCCTTTTCCACTTGCTGATCCCTTTGTAAATCTAATTATAGTCTAGGACCGGGCAGTCTGTTCTCCCCGTAACAGAGTTCAGCAGTGACAAGATACATCTCAGAGAACTCAGTATATTTTAGTGCATGATGAGAACTTTAAATATTGCGTAAAGACAATCAACCTGATTATGTGCTAGTTTACCAATCTTACCCACCAGCCATGAGAGATTAGAGAAGGCAGACTCACAATCACAACTTCATCCATTCTGCCCTAAGCCCTGTAGGAGCTTCCTCGGTTGGAACTGTCTTAATCGTTGTGTGCTTTCAAGCCTCAAAGCTTTTCTCTGCCACTCTCCCTTCTTCCTGAGGGGAGTTAGTTTACTGCAAAATGTTCTCTCTCCCTATGAACTTATTTCCTTCACCCTTAGTTTCTCAGGCCAGAAAACCTCAGATAAATTGCTATACACAACTTTCAGACTTGTTGGTGTAGTTTGACGTTGGTTAACATTCTGTCAGGAACTCTAAGAGAGAGAATGTTTCAAATATTGTTGAAGAAGTCTTTTTTTTTTTTTTTTTTTTCCCAATTTGTCATAGTACCTGACATGTCAGTATAATAGTCCTTGGTATTTCTCCATGTCTATCACACAGGCTTATTTCTGCATGTGGATTCTCCTCCGTTCCATCTTAAAACAGCAAATAGGATCTGTAATATGTCTTAACTAACTAGATTTTAAATCATGTTGCCTTAGTCACAGTGACTTCTGTAGATGAAGAGTTGGAAAG